TTGATGCACAGTATTTACACTAAGAATGAGGGAACCAACAAAGCCATGTATGATCCTTAATAAGCTGTAGCTGCATAATTGGAGACAAAACATTTTCAGCTCATCTCGAGGGTTAATATTCTTAAGAAATGTTACAAAGAGTTGCCTCAGAATAATGGATGACTAAGTCACCATTTCATACCATCTGACAATGATTTAGAAACATTCCACAACAAATGAGAGAGCAACACTGGAACCACATGCAGTTAATAATAAACATCTCAATAGAACATAAGATTCAAAAGGCAACAATTTGGTGCTTTTTAAAGGTGAGACTCACCTTGAGACTCGAAACTGTAGCTCTGAGTAAGGCCAAACATACACCCTCAGTTTTTTACTACACTGTGTGTGTGAGAGCGAGAGTGAGTCAACATGTTAAGGAGGTTTGGAAATACTGAGCCATAAAGGAGAAAAGCAGGAGTGGGTGAGTGCTGGGACACGGATCCTGAGGGAGAAGAAATGAGGATGATGAAGGATGAGGGTAAGTGTGTCCTGTTGTGACTCTATGAACCTCCAATAACCCCAAAGCCTCAAGTGTAGTGATTTGATGAGACTGTGCTTTAGCTAAGTGGTTGAACAGACACACTGAGACAAATACTAGGAACAAGGTGGATGGAGTTGTGAGCTTTCAGGAAACCACTGATATGTTTTATCAGAAATTATTCATATTAATCAAGTGAGTTGAATCACTTTGCAGGTCTACATGCTAATGTCAGAATATGTGCTTTTGTACAACTCTCATCTGTTTCACAAACCATCAGCAACATCAAAAATGTGCGCAAATTTAAATGTGAGAATTTAAATCCACTGTTCATCTGACTGCACTACACAATATGTGACGGGTGCTGAAAAAAATGTAGAAAAAAATCAACTGGACTTGGTTTTAGGTCGAAGACATTTCATCTCTCGTCCAAGAGGCTTAATCAGTTCTGCCCAACTGGCGTTGAGTCGGAGATATTTACCCATCGGTGGTGTTTCAGTCCTTTGAAGGCCAACAATGTCCCTTAACGACTGAGTTGTTATAGCCCAGTATTGTTGAGCGTCATTACCTGTCTGTGGACCGATGCCTATTGTCCTAGTGGGCATGTTTGGGCAGAGATCTCAAAACAGAGTTGTAGATGGATGACAAGTTGTCTTAGTCCTTCACGTGGAGGTGGACTGGAGTTGGTCCACTGGAGTGGGCCCTTCTGTGTTGGGCCATGTCAAAGTCAAAGTGTTCATTTGTCATATGCACAGTTAGGAAACATGTTTCGCTGTACAATGAAATTCTTACTTTGCCGTCCACATGAATGCCACAAAAATACAAATGAAATATAAAGTAGATAAATAAGTGACACAAAATCTAAGGCACTTTAAGCAGCAAATGCAGCAATATAATAAAAATATATAAGAATATAATAAGGGAATGTATGCTGCATGGGAGCAGCATGTGCAGCAGTCAACAGTCAATGTGCAAACAGAATGTAAACAGTACATGACGTGTTTCCTGGTAATAAATTCCTCAGCTGTTTAGGAGTCTGATGGCAGAGGGAAAGAAAGAGTTTTTCAGTCTAGAGGTCCTACATTTTACACTTCTGAACCTCCGGCCAGAGGGTAGGGAGGTGAACGGTCCGTGCTGAGGGTGGGTGGGATCTTTGAGGATGGAGGCAGCTCTGGCTGAGGGAGAGGTTGAAGATGGTGGTGAGAACATCAACCAGCTCCCTGGCACATGCCCTGAGAGCCCTCCCAGGGATGTTGTCCAGTCCTGCTGCTTTGCGGGGGTTGATCTTCCTCAGGACTGTGTGTACCTGGCCTGGTGAGACAGTTAGTGGAGGGGAGGTGGGGGGCTGGGTGGTCTCGGTGTGTGTGTGCCTCTTCGCTGTGCTGTGGCTGGAGGTCTCACAGCGGGTGTAGAAGGTGTTGAGGTCATCTGGCAGGCTGTCTGTGGAGCTGATGATGCTGGTGGTGGTCCTGTAGTC